TTTTTAGCCCAGTGTGGCTCAGTGGTTGAGCATCAACCTATGAACCAATAAGGTCACACAGTTCAATACCGGTCAGCGCATATGCCTGGATTGCGGGCTGGATCCCCAATGTGAGGGGTGCAGGAGGCAGCCGATCAATGATTCTCTCTCATCATTGATGTTTCTATCTCTCTCTCCCTTTCTCTCTGAAATCAATAAAAATATGTATTTAATAAAAAAGAACTTTTTCAGTCATGTCATTCCTGTCCTTTTTCTTTTAAAATAATTAAATAATTACGTTCTTGACTCTATTTGTTTCTCAGCCCGCCAATGGTACTCTGAAATGCTTCTGAGGTCAGAACAGAGATTTGAAAGTTGCTCCCCTGACCCCACTGCACATCCCATCAATACTTGGACTGAACAGATAGGAAATAAAGCATTGTCCACAAACATGCTCTGGTCATGCCTCATTCCTTCTCCTATTTCAATAGCCTGCCTCCCTCTTTTACGCCCACCGACTGACTATGATGATGTCTAATTACAGCACTTCCTTTCCAATGCACTTGGAGCACAAAGACACGAGTTCCTTCAATTCTCCAATAGAGATGTTACAGAAAGCGAGCTTGCCAGAATGTCTCTTGACAAAATACAGGACATAACGACTGGAAACCATCCTGTGCTCTGGTCATTCCCTCATCGTAATTACATAAATTATCTCCTGGGGCTAGAAACACCAATCCTTATTTCAAAAGGACAGTTTTCCAAATTCATATGTGAACCTATGCTGTCAGTGGGGAACTAGCCAGGAGAATCATCAACGCATGTCTGCAGTGCTGCCCAGGGCCTGTGGCCCATGTGGATATGCACAGCAACTCTCACGGGGAACCTGTACTATATACACACGTCCCGATTCAATGGACCACTGAATGCCATTGTGCCCTCTGTACTGACAGTGAAACTGGGGGCCAAGGGTTAATGATGTATCTAAGTTCATACAAACTATTTAGAAATGTATCTCAGGGAACCCTGCCCTGGGCTAGCCAAGTGGACCTTGCCTTCCTCCAGGAAAACGTTTCCATGGAGAAATCTTCAACTTGACTTAGAATAAACTCCTAAACCTTGTACCTCATGCAGCTATTTCAGACACACACACACACACACACACACACACACACACAAGCATGAAGAAAAAGAAGAATTTGATGTCTTCTTGTCTTTTGGGCCTCTTGATTCAGTCACAGTCTTCAAGCTTTATATGTGATGCTTGTTTTGACCTAATACATGAATGTCTTCTTAAGCTACTAATGAAAGTATTATTGTTTTTATTGTTATTATTTTAATTTCACATGGAAAGCAAGGTAGAGATGGTATTTATTGCAATGATCCAGTGAGATACTTGGGTAAGGCCACATTTGTCGTACCATGAACTAACTTCCCAGTGCCATTTGAAACACTGCCAACTCACTTATCGCTAACATTTTCCTTAAGAACAGAGCTTCTCTTTTCTCCTTCTCCTATCAGCTTGCCAGAAAGCGTTATATTGCCACCGCCAGCTGCAAGGTGGGATGGGATATAAGTGTGCATTAATGGCATTCTGAAGCCTGCCATAAATTCACTGCAGTGAATCTGAATGGGGAGATTAAACAACATTTAAGAACATTTTTCAAAAAGTAATGGTTTGTGTAGGACAGAAATAAGTTGGCTCTGATTTTTGTGCATTTCGTCTTAGGTCACCACTCCTCAAGAGACGGAGTGGATTTTCATCCTTTACAACTGACCATAGAAACTGTTCAGTGTGTCTCCATCCAATAATATCATTGTTTGATGGACCATGTCATGAACTGGACTATTTGAGGGCACTATTTTGAGTGACCATGTAATTTATTGCTCAAACTGAGATCCTTTTGAGAGAATTAAGGCCACTGCCCAGAATTTCTGTTCCATATTAAAGCCCAGTCCAGTCCAGCATCTGCTAGCTTAGTTTGTGTTCCCAGCTACAGTCCATTGTGTGGGGGGTTCAGGCAGCCATGGGTCATGCAGGTGCTTAAGGCCACAGGGCTATGGGAAGAGAACAGGTGAATGCACACACGAGTGTGGGTCATGAGCAAGAAAAAATAAGGGGGAACAAGAGAGGGGGGACTCTTTGTCCTGGGATTTTAACCAGAAGCTTCTTCAAACTAACCAATTAAGTTTCCAAGATATTGTGCACTTATGGGGTCCAGCTCATAGCCAATCCACTGTTTTCCAGGTTAGACTGGCAGGCAAGTACCTCCCTCGTGCACCACGACTTCTGTGCATGTGCCTATCTCTCCCTTTATCTCTCCCCTTTGTTCTTTGTTCAATTCTGGTGGTTTCCTGGGGAGTGGGAAGCTGTAGCTTCCTGGTGAGCCTGCTCAGCTGACCGTTCTTATAATGTCTGGCCTCCCTTTGCTCTTTTTCTACTCACTAACTAGCTAACTACACTTCACACAATTCAGCCTGTAACGGGTACTAATTCCTGAACAAAGATCAAAATATATAAAAGCAATTGACGCATCCGAGAATGGCTGGGTTCCTCAAAAGCTCAAGAATTCCAAGATCTGCGATTCTTACACTCACCAACTTTCTGTGGTCACGTGCCAGCATAGTTTTACAATTAAGAGCAAAGTGATGTTTAAAATATTTAATATGTTACAGGCGCTGACAAATCAGTCTGAAAATCAGCCACCACCAGGCTGGGGCAAGCAGCTGTGTCCCAGAGGCTGTCTGTTGTGTCCGGGGCTAACCTTTAGTTGAAGGATTATGAGGAAGGCTTGCTGGCAGGGCTAGTCCCAGGGCAAAAGCTGGGGGCATGAGGGCAGCAGGGGTACTGCTATACCTGTGAGCGTCTGCCTATCAGCCACTGTGAAGAGAAAGGAAATTTGAGTTTTACCACTTACAAGCTAGATAATCTTGTCTAATACTGTCACCTATCCAGGCTTTACTTCACTAATCTGTGTGAAAACTGCATGTCCACTAGGCTCAGGTATTTGAATGTTGGAGGCATTTTCATTGTCGTTGCCCCAGTTTTTCTTTCAGTTTACTGGCACAAAAGCCGCACATCCAAGGGGCAGGATGGTATCAATTTTCTTTCATTTTTTTCTCCTTTTTCCTTCCCTTCCTGTTGCTTGGAAATCATCAGGGAGAGTAACAGAGGTCTCTCCCACATAGGCAGAGTCACTACTTTCAGCTTGACATGATGAATTTAGCTTTCGAAAGTGACCAGTTGACCCCTTGAAAATTTATTTGAAAATAAAAATCCAGAAAGGTTTTCATGAACCACGGAGGACTTCCATTCTTATTCAAGGTTCACTACACAGATTTAAAATTTCTTCAACAACATATTACGCACTAACCATTTTGCGTATGCCTAGCTTGAATGGTATTCAGTTGGGTTTCTTCCTCTTAGGATTTTGGCATTAGATTTTTTGAATTTAAAAAGAAGAAATAAGTGACAGGCAGAATAAGGGGCTCCATATGAAAGACTAGCTTCACCAGATGGACTATGTTGAAATTCAGTAACAACCCAGTTTGGAAGCAGCTCACCTAGAAAAGATTTTCATCACTGCAAGGTATGTCTCCCAGAAAATGATAATTTATTCACCATCTCTATCTAGCAGAGTCCAAAATAGTATAAGGAAGCATTTCTGAAGAGCCAGGGTTCCTGAGTATAATAGCAGAATTTTGTGTTTTCACAATGTTTAAAATCAAAGCAGAGTCTCCGCCTTGTAAGCAGGAGAGTGAACAGGTAACTTTAAATGTGTCCTATAGCTTTGGATGATGAGGATTCAAATGTCTGAAGACAGTAAAAGCCAAGAGTGCTATGTGAGCAAGCGTGGGTCTCAGTCCTTAAACAAACAAAAAACCCTCTCATTTTCTTTCCTAGATTTATTGTAGAACCATTTGCAGGGAATTTGGGAAAAATCCAAGAACAAGAGACAATTCTGTGTAGTAAATAACTCCAATCATAGGCCAGACGTGTATCTCACCCCAGCCTGAAAGAGAGATTGAGAAACCGACCACGCAGAGAGGATTATGTTTTATTGGAGCTAAATCTCAGAAGAAAACACTGCTGGGAGGGTCTTCATATGTTGTCTCTATGATGGAGGATAGGAAGAGGGAAAGATCGTTGACCACCAACAGTGGACAGGAAATTTAACGCAATATGGCAGCTCCAAGAAGATAGATGGGATGTGGGATCCCAAAGCTCTCGGGCTCACTTTGGAGTTTACAGGTGCTGATTCCCTTTGATTCATGGCTGCGGTTCTTAGGGGCAGGGGAACTTAGTTAGCTAGCGATGGGATGCAAACAGAAAGAAAGGCTTCACCAGCTGGGAAAACAAAAGATGTTTGGGATGATGTTGATGAAAGCCTTTTTTAAGTGAGAGGTACAGCGAGTGTGAGGGGAAGGCAGCTGGAGCCTTCGCAGGTCGGCTAATGATGCCCGGTGCTGCTGACACAGCAGTTCGCCCAGCCAGTGCAGGAGCGAGCTGCCTGGGGGACCTGGCCTTTTTCTTAGGGTTGGACCCTTCAAGTCCGGGCCAGGGGAGGCTGCACCACGTGGTTTATAAGACTTTCTTGCACGCTGATTTGAATGCTTACCACTGGGACATACTTAACTAAAACTTAGCTTAAAACTTTTCCCTTTTCAGACTCCATCCCCCTTAGCAGGTATTTGGTTTCTAAGATCAGAAATCAACAGGGGAGAGGATGTTAGTCTGGGTTATAAAATGAAATGAAACGCCTCCACTTTTTCATCCACTTTCACTAAAATGGCTGGAGCTTTGCTCATGAGGCTGCGAAAAGCCTAACCTGGATGTACAAAACCAACTGGGCGATTGTTTACCTGTCCCAGGGACCCAAGAAACGGGGCAGGGGGGGGGGGTCTTGGTAATTACGTCTACCAAGTTGTGCGGCTGTGCCTGTGTGATCTAAAATGTAAAATATTGTGTGTGATGATACTGCATTTTAATCTCTCATGTTTTCATGTTGTTTCTCCAACAGAGGCAGGATGACATGTACCACAAAATCAGCATCTGTGATGGCCTTAGAATTTATAAATTCAAGTGGCTGACCCCATATCACCTGATCCCCATTATTACTAAGTGACCTCTTATGCCCCCCAATATCATTCCAGTGTTGGAAGCTCACTGCCTCTGGAGGTAGTTATTCCATCATCAGACATTAGTATCAGATGGACTCTAAATTTGATAAAGTTCTCTCCAGGTGACAACAATAGAGCTGATATGTTGATATTGAAAGGCCATGCTCACCTAACCCCACACTGCAAAACTGTTGTTCTAGGCATGGTCTATGTAAGCCCTTCCCATGCCATTGAGTTATATGGAGAAACAAATCAGATGCATTAGTGTTTGGAGCTGGGTCTCCTGTTGATAGTAAAACCTGACCTGGAGCACAGTGGATTGAGTTCAGACACAGGGAATAGTCCCCTCATACGAGGGTTTATACACATTGGAAGAGTTACTATCGGGAGGAATGGCGTGTGGAGAACATTGTCGCCTAAATACCATTTCCAGTTGTACTGCTTCTGTGAGAGTGCTATGTGTGGTCGCATCTGAGACAAAGGAATACACTAGTGTTTCCTCCTCCATTCAACCAGGTACTTTCCAAACAATGGAAAGATGGTTTTAGAGATTTGCCCAAACTCCAGCCCATAGACCAAATCTGTTCCATTGTCTCTTTCTGTAAGGCCCTGTAGTGAAGAATACTTTTTACATTTGTTACTGTTTGAAAAAGAATCAAAAAAATATTTTTGTGAAATATGAACATTATAGAAATTCCAATTTCAATGTCCACGAAACACTTTCCTTAGGAAACAGCCAGGCTCATAGTTTATATATGGCGTATGGCTGATTTTACATTATAAGTAGAGCTGAGTAGTTCTGACAGAAACTGTATGGTCTACAAAGCCTAAAATATTTTTTATCTGGCCCTTAGTGAAAAGATTTGAATACCCCTCATGTATGTTCTCCTCAGGTCTTCCTGACCATATTGCCTGAAACCCAACAGTCTGTTTACCTGGACCTGTGTCTTAGATCACTGTTTGCAAAGCTTTTAATATAATTTGTTTAATTATAAGTTTATATTCTTTAACTTATTGCTTTTATTTATTTATTTTTGTATTTTTAAAACAATTTTATTGAATGTATTAGGGTAATAAAGCTTTCTACACAGTGCCTGAAACATACTAGATTCTCCATGAAGGCTTATTAAGTGAATATAATCAATCCTATATAATAAAGAGCTAATATGCAAATGGTCATCACACCCTTGCGCCCTTGCGCCAGGGCCAGGGGACCAGAGGCCACGCCGGGGGACCTGAGGATGGGCTGGGAGACCTAAGGTGGTGCCCCCCACCCGGCACTGAGCCAGAGGACCTAAGGCTGTGCCCCCCTGCCCGGTGGGGCTTGACGGGGGACCTGAGGCTGTGCACCCCACCCTGCGGGGCTTGACAGGGGTGGGGCCAGTCAGGTCTGGGTCTAGTGCCATTTTGAGGCGTGCGCAGGTGGGAGGGACTTAACTCTGGGTCCTGCAGTGCGCCTCAGACTCTGACAGGAGAGAGATTTTCATATACATTTTACCAATTTTCTTTCATCTCTGACCCTTCTATTATAGAGAAAGGGCAAATAGCAATATTAAAATATTTCCTCTAATTAATTCCCTTTTAATGTGCATGAATTTCATGCACCGGGCCACTAGTTTTATTATATAATTTCATGAACAGGATACAGAAGCTCCAAAGGTGAAAAGCCAATGGTAGTTTTTGTTATAAAGAGCACTGCACAAGGAAGTGTTTCTTGATGAATATTCATGGTTTGCACTAAAATGTCTGCCACCCTCTCTGTACCAGATGTAGTGATCCTAGATTCCCTGACTTGTAATTACAAAGCAAAATATTCTAATGCTAATAATAAGGCCAACCTCTATACCTTTTAAGTGCAATCTTCTTGATTATAAGCAACCATTGACTAAAGACATCAATTAGAGGAATATTTCTTAAACCCTGGGGCAAGAGTTTAGTTAAAAAAAACAGCTTGGAAAGTGGCTTAACTCCTTGACAATCACCAACCCCCCAGCAAGCATTAAAAGCAAAGCCATTATTTTACATCGTGTGGAAGAAAAGGAACACTCTGTGTTTCCTGTTGGGCGGCTCCTGTCTCCTAGACACCATCACCTTGAACACAAAGGCAGCAAATGCAAGCAGGGGAGATGAAGTTCAGTTTGCTTGTTTCTGTCTCTTTAGCCCATTTCAAAATACCTGATCCTGGTTTTAGAGCATTTGAGGGCTTCAAAATCCTTAGGAAAACTGCAGACACAAATTGAAACTATGCTTGCCCAACAGACCCCAAGGAGCTGTTATCATACACCATCTCTCAGGAAGAGCCAAGCATTCCTTCAAAAAAAAAAAAAAAAAAAAAAAAAAGCTAGCCAGAAAGAGTACGGAGAAAATAGTGAAATTCTAGAAAGAGAACCAAGACATTTCTCACCACCTAAATAGAAATATGCATCTTCTAGTTTATTTTTTGAACATTCCAAATGAGAAACTTTGTGCAATCCAATATGAAGTAGAGCAATGCAACACCCATGTGCTCATTCATTCAATCACTTACTCATTTTTTTTCTTTCACCTTCTTTTTTGAAGCCTTCTTTAATTTATTGGGTTGAAGTAAGTCACTGCCTCTTCATTATTCTCAGTTTTTTCACGTTCGGCTTCCTTTCAAACCCTATGCATTATATAGTATTTTAATGACTGGCTCTTGTTGGCACAGTGCAGCCTCTAGAGCAGGGGTTCTCAACCTGTGGGTCTCGACCCCTTTGGGGGTCGAACGACCCTTTCACAGGGCTCACCTAAGACCATCGAAAAACACATATATAATTACTTATTGTTTTTGTGATTCATCACTATGCTTTAATTATGTTCAATTTGTAACAAGGAAATTGGGGGTCACCACAACATGAGGAACTGTATTAAAGGGTCGTGGCATTAGGAAGGTTGAGAACCACTGCTCTAGAGGAAGATCAAGTGCCCAAATCCTGAAGGGGATGAGTTCTGTTGTGATGAGTGGGTCAAGCACAGAAATTGGACCAAGGTGTCTGTCTGGGGTGGAGCATTTGGGGGAGGAGCAAAGAGATTCAAAGCTCTTGATCTTGCTTAGAGTGCCCCGTCTAGGCAAAAGGATCCTCCCAGCTTAAATGCACCTTAAATTAGCTACTGAGGAAAGGGGACCAGGTAGGCATTTCATAAGACTCTAATTCAGGGGTCCTCAAACTACGGCCACATGCAAATACAAATATTGTATTTGTTTCCATTTTGTTTTTCTACTTCAAAATAAGATATGTGCAGTGTGCATAGGAATTTGTTCATAGTTTTTTTATAAACTATAGTCCAGCCCTCCAACGGTCTGAGGGACAGTGGACTGGCCCCCTGTTTAAAAAGTTTGAGGACCCCTGCTCTAATTAGTAATAAGTGATAAAGTAAATACTGAGATAACAGCCTTCGAAGACTCAAGCCCTAACCTCACCACCAGAGAAAATTCATTACTTGTCAATGCAATTTTCCAAAGTTTCCTCTCCATTCTTTTTAAATTTTTATTGAATTGATTGGGGTGACACTGGTGAACAAAATTATACATGTTTTAGGTGCACAATTCCGCAACACATCAGCTGTACTGTATTGTGTGTTCAACACCCCAAGCAAAGTTTCCATTCATCACCATTTATCCCCCCTATACCCTCCTCCACCTCCCTTTAGCCTTGCTCCCAAGAAGAAAGAAACCTTTCTCTTTAAGAACGGATAGAACCATGTTAGGAGGCTTCTTTTTTTCGGGAGCAAGGCTAAGTTGATCGACAACAAGGTATGGTGAAGGGAGGTGCAAGAATGGAGCCAAGGGGAAGAGAAAAACTATGTGAGCTGGAGGGGAAGCTCGGGAGCGGCTGCATGGATAAGGGGAATGGGTAGGAGAGGAGAGGGGGTTCGAAGGAGCATTTCCATGATCCCCTTCAATTTCTCTTAGAGTATAAAGACTACAACTCCTTGTATTTACTCTCGGCTTTGAATTTGTTTCTGAGGCACAACAATGTTCTGAGACTGAACTACAGGGCCTCTAGGTTAACTTGAACGGCACGGTGAATTCTCACTTTGTCCAGACTCTTTTGCACATTTCCTTTGAAACCCATGGAAGATGTCTGGCCGAGGTGCAGATTTTAAAGGCTTGCTCCACTCATAATGAGTATTTGGCATAGTCCAGCAGATATCTCACTATTTTCTTAGTGATGCCATTTTTATAATAAAATCATTAGTCTGGAGTTTATTTTGTGTTATAATATATGGATCTAAAAGATTTACCTAAATTTGGTACCCATTTACTCCAATGCTGTGTATGAAGTAATTTCGAATCTCCGCATATTCTTAGGGAAAAATGGTAGAAAGAGTGACGAAATGTTACCGTTCTACACCCAGCTTCTGACATCAATGGGCTGCACAGGACTTTGGCCAAGTCACTTTGCTTTGATAGCATTCACTTTACACATCTCTAAAATGAGTGGATTCGATTAAGTTCTCTTCCAGAATGAACATTTGATGATTCTCTGAAAAAAATGATGACCCTTACTCAGGACAAAATAGGTGCTTCCTGGGCACTCATCTGGAACATGGGGATCCACCACTTTGGTTGTTGCTACTTGCATTTCTTAGATAACTTACAAACAAACATCCTTGGTGACGCAGCCATGCCAAAAGCCCAGAATCCAGCATATTTACTTCATTTAAAAAGGCTGCACAGGGTATGCCTGGCTGACATGAATGGTGCCTAATGGGCTATAAATAACTTTTGGCCACTTGACCTTGGTCAAGTTGATATGACCCCCATCAGAACTCTTCAACTGTGGAATCCTATGGATGCCCATGAGCCACTTCCTAAATGAAAAGGATATTTCCCCTAATTGGGGAGAGGAAGCATGGTAATGTGGAACAGTGATAAGTCACACATTTTGT